AACGCCCAAACCCTGGTCCAAACGCATATGTCCAAGAAGTGAATTTCAACCGATTCAGTAGTGCCTGCGTGTATTTTACCTTTATTGCGACCAATTAGTCATTTTTGCATTTAGAGCGAGAGATAACGACAAATTTTGTGCGATGATTGGTAAAAGTCTGTCACCGCAATTTTCTTTTTGCATTAAAAGTAGCTTATAAACTGTACATATACGTCTATTGAGCAGTCGAATCTATTTTTATTTAGTTTTTCAAGGGTAGCGAAAATGATAAATTCCACCTATTGGATATAATCCTGGATACAATGGACACTAATTGTCGCTCCGAATTGGATTAACTTCTTCTCTCTGTTAATTTTCTCTTTTAAATTTAATTGGTTCGTCGATTCTAAGGATGTGTATAAAAAACGATAATTCAACCGAATTTTACTTATCTTTTCCCAAGAAAGCTTAAATTGACAGTGTAAAAAGTGAAACATAATATGACCCTTTTTATGGTGAAAAACGAAACAAATTCCCGTAAATACGATTTAAAACAAAGATGTGATTGATAGCTATGGCGCAGATGACAAATAATAAAGTTCACCCATTCCAATAGACAAAATAAAAACTTGAACGTGACATAATGAGCATTTTTGTTTGGTGAACTGAGAACTTCTTCTTCCGCATTTTTCAATGAAGAAGACAGCAAAAAATTTTCGTCAAATCGCTCTCGTTTATTTCGAAGCAGGCGTTAATCAAATTTGGTTCTGATTGGCTGTTTATTTACGAAACCTTAAAAGAGATTTTTTAATGTGTAAGAGAGCAGAACCTTTAAACACTGTCTGTTGGTAGTTGAGATGGCGTTCGGCTTTTTGATAGAAAAGTTTGTGTATTGAAGAAAGTTGCATCATTGAATAAAAAATTAATTTTTTATTCAATGGTTGCATTTAATGTACGTCATCAAATGAATTCACCGAGTTCGTATGCAATTTTAAACCGTTTATCCCCAGCAGCAAAATTAATAATTTGAGTAGTGTGTCAATCAAGCTGTTCAGTGCATAATGAGCCTGTTTACAAGGTTCTACAAGTTTTCGCTAAGTTTTACTTTCACTCTCCGAAAAGTCACAAGATTTAATCATCATTCTCAACAAAACCAGTTCGTGTTACCAAGATTAAGTGTAGAAAAGAAGTGACGTTTTTGAAGCTGTAAGTGAGTGTTCGGTTAGTAGGTACTTTGTGCGCCAAAATATCGTGACTAACCACCAGAATTTTGGATTGTTAAAAACTCTTCCTTTAATTCCTTTAATTAATTGTCTATCGATCGCTTACATGTGTGGTATTTGTAAACAGGCCGTAAGAGTCTATTTCAGCTTTGTTAATTTGCGTGCAGCTCGAATAAATGTTATTTTATTTGTCAATACAAATTTGTGTTTAATCTAACCCAAAATTTTACGACCCAGGATTAGAGGTTTCATGTCAAATTTGATATTCGTGCCCTGCCCCTGAGTTATGCTAGGTGTTAGTCAAAATTTGTTTAAATAATTCCTTGGAGTAATAGAAAGTGATCAAGGCTGCTGAGATTCCTAAATTAATAAAATTAAGTTTTTATCGAGATTTTTGTTATAATATTTATAATCAAGTTTATTAAATTGAGCTAGCTGGACAAGTGCTTTGTCCTTTGTGGATAGCTTAGTGGCCGTTCGCCATTGAACATGTAATGGCCTAACCTCGGGCCTAACACTTTTTTAAAAATTTAATTCGTTTTTACTATCCTAATTACTGTATGGCAAAAAATTAAAATTTCGGTATAACTTAAAATGTAAAATGAAATTACCGGTCAAACAAACGTCAGTGTACCTAGATTTATAGTAGGTGAATAACAAATAAGATTGAATTAACTGAAATCGACAGTTTTAATGATCTGTGGCGCGTATAGTTAACAAGAATGATTTATTCGCACACAGACTTTGAAGCGGTCACGTATTCGCAGCGTGCAATTGCGAGTTGCAAATTGGTAATCCAAATTTGTGTTTTAAAAAGCGGGGTCTTTAGTAGTGAAGGAATTCCATAAGCTACTTCGGCGAAAGTGTGCAACATTCCATTTTGGAGAATTCATGAAAGCTGGCGTGTTATTTTCATCGGTTAAAGCAATTTCGTTAAACGGCATGCGTTTGTCTTAACCATCCCGCGATTATTTTGTACTTGCCAGCGTTCAATTTTGGAGAATTTCTATATGAAAGATATCCAGCAGAAATAGAGTAAAAAAGTACAAATATCCCGGAATCTTAATTATTAACGAGCTCCTAGCGAGTTTATAATTTTGCGGGGTCTGTCTGCCCGTCTGTCCGTTTGCACGATATCTTGATAAAGAATGGACCGATTACGATGAAATTTTGTAAGTGGATTCTTTAACAAATTTATAGATCGGGGTTTGTGAATTGGCAATAATAGGCCAAAAATAAGGAAAGCCCTTTTAACATCTCTCTTAGTTATTAACCGAATGGCTTAAAATTTCACATGGGCATAGCTCTAACCATATAATATGCAATTCCGAAAGTTGAGCCTAATTGATTCACCTTCACAGTGCCCTTTTTGCATCTCGACCATTTACAGACTGAATTGCAAACTTTTTTGATTATGAAGGTATTTAAATGAAATTTGATACATAGCCACTTGGAATAAAAGTAAATTTAACGCCAGTTTCAAAATTTGGTTTTGCGCATACTAAGTCATACCATAGAGTAAATACAATTGTATTTCCTCTATGGTCATACCCAGGAGCTCGTTTGCTATAGTTGACGCCAAATTAAGTTGGGTATGACTCATCGCTATGTATTGCAATAATTAGCGTATGGAACGGTGCCTATCACACAGATTGACGGTTGCTAGAGAAGGATAGAAATTCGTAACTTGAGTCTGCTGTACAATTCATATGGGCGGTCTAAAACGTATGTCGCGCATTCCTCAACTTTTCTTCTGTCATTTCGTGTTTACGTTAACATTTATTTTTACGTTTTTACTTCAATACATCAAGAAACAGTTTTTTTAAAAACTACTTTGCACTTGTGGAGAGATTAATCGGTAAATTGTAACAACTTGCATATGAAATTGTGAAATTAAAAATGTTTGGTTTATAGGTTAAAATGCTGCGAAATAAACATCTTAAGTCTCAGGCTCAACTTCTTGTCATGAATGTGCTTAATTATTTTGAAAGAGAACGAGATAATCAGGGCGCAATGGTTCCATTTCAATCTGTTATGCAGGTAGGCAATCGATTAAAATGCTTAATACAAGTAATTTAATGTTACGTTAACTTTAGCGCACCTCAGAAGCCTGTGGAGTGAGCATAAACACGGTTTCTGCTATAAGAAAGCGAGTGACTGAAGCACAAAAAGAAAATAAGCCGCCACAATCACCAGCTAAAAAGAGAAGATGTACAAAGAGCAAGTCTGAAAACGTGGAGGACTATGTGAAGGATGCTGTCAAAAGAAAAATTTATGAAATGCATTCCAAATGTGAGTCGACACATTTATCGAGTCTTGTAACTTTAACGTTTTTCTAGGTATTCATGTTACGATAGCATCTTTGGCAAAAAGAACTGGCTGAATGCGAAATTTTCGAATTTAGTAAGACGAGTTTAAGGCGCCTGCTACACTCCATTGGTTTTTCCTTTAAATTAGATGATGGTAGAAAAGCTTTACTTGAACAACCCCATATTGCTGCCCATCGTGTACGGTTCTAAGGGAATACCACAAAAATAAAGAAGATGAACTTTACAAGCCCGTTTTCTTAGATGAGACTTGGATTTTCAGTCGAGGTTCACAAAAAAAAAAGTTAGCACAATGAGGCTAAGGAAAGCACAAAGAAGAGGTCAATGGGAGAAGGAAAAAGGTTGGTAATAATTAATATTTATTACTGTAATTAATTACTGAATCTTTCAGATTCATAGTGCTGCATGCAGGCAATGAAAATGGCTTTATTCCTGATGCATCGCTTTTGTTTTCCACAAAATCCCAAAGTGCTGACTTCCATGGTGATATGTGTGCAGAATTATTTACAAAATGGTTTAAAGACAGTTTAATTCCTAATATAAGTGAGCCATCGTTAATCATCATGGACAATGCCAGTTATCATTCAAAACTGACGGAAAAAGCCCCAAATACATCCTCTAACAAAGAAGAAATATGCCAGTATTTATTAAAGCATAATGTTCCCTATGAACCGACCATGTTCAAAAAGGAATTATTACATTTAGTTGTCGATAATGCGAAACCAAAGGTGTACGAAATTGACGAGATCGCCAACAGCTACGGCCACAGAGTGTTACGATTGCCTCCATACCATTGCCAATTTAACCCCATCGAGCTTGTATGGGGTAACTGCAAAGAATTTTATAATAAAAACATCGGGCGAAATAATGTAAAGTTCGATGACAACCACGTCAAAGAAATTTGGACTGAATCTTTGGGAAGGGTCGATGGTGATTATTGGCAAAAATGTATTACCTAAACATGCCGAAAAGTTTATGTCGGAATGGTGGACCATTGAAAAGCGGTTTGAACTTGTCCAGCCGCTAATTATAGCTGTCTCCGACTCCACTTCAGAAAGCGACACCGACACAGAATAAATATCACAGTCGTATTCATATAATTTATATCGACATGTTGCTTAGAAATTATGTACTTTTTTACATAATGTTGTACACGACATAAAACATTTGTAAACCATTGACGTAATTTTATAATTATCTTGTAGCATCTAAACTAGAATTGAACATCTGTTGTAAGTATAACGAAATTGTTTTTGACTTCTTCTTGACATAATCTCATAAGCTGAAGCGCGATAGGTAGGGGTACTGGATGCAGATACAGATGTCTCGTTACCAAATCACCTTTGCCGAAAGAAGAGGACTGTATACGATATTGTGAAACCTTGCTCGTAGCTAATGTTCAACATTTTAGAATAACGCATTTGATTTGCCAGTTTTCTGCCTGAAATGCATGTTATAAATGAATGTAGAGGATCGGTGTGTTTACCTACATTAAGTATAGTTATGTTTCAAATAAGTGGAGATAATTATAACAACCATTTCTTCTAGTTTAATAATTCACTAAATAGTAACAGTTTCCTTTTGGTATCGAATAAAAACCCTTTATTCAATGCTTTTAGTTTTGAATCCGCATATCAATTTACGCAACCTCGAAGTTTGACAGATTAAAAGTTGAACTTGAAGTTAGCAAGTTACAGAGACATCTACCCGTGCGCATATTAACTAAACGTCGATTTAGATACGACTGACGTTGCTTGAATCTTAATCCGTACAATTTTAAGGTTTTTTTGTTACCCAATAAATGAAGTTATACATCACTGGATGGCAGCACGTGTACAAGTATTTACGTAGCCAGTTTTACGCAGCACAATTTGTAATCTCACGTCCGCCTTACGCAGCACAACTTAAAGTATACTACTCTATGACAAGATATAGTACATATCGTCAGTAAACTATAGTCCATATGCGCAGCAATGTAACATAAATTATTAAATCGTAAATGAAACGTCATTTATAACGCGACCGATAGTTGTATTTAATAATATGCACCTGAAATGCAATGTAAAAATCCGTTCCCTACGAGTGAAAGTTTCTCAAAACCAGCCGTACGGAGTCAGCGGTTCTCAATACAACATCCGTTGCGCTATAAATGACATTTGATTTAAGACTTATAATATATATTGGTCAGCATATGGTGTAGGTACCTTTCTCAATATTTATACCTGAGAAGCATAAATAATAAAAAATACACGTTTTGAAGCACCACGAAGCCGAATCAAACAAAATCTGGATTATCTCTATCTGTCTGTCGGTATTCTCATTTTCAGGTAAACGACTGAACCGATTGGAACCAAATTTGGTACATATATGTTTAGAGCAGAAAAGCTTTTGGGTAGAATCACGCATGTGCAGATATGCCGGTAGTATAGGTAAATGCTGCGATAAGTTTGCCTTTACTAGAAGCACATGTGGTTAAAATTTCAAAAAATAGCCGATTAAGAAAGATGATATCGCTCAGCTTCCGCATGACACATTTAATTTTTACTATGTGCCTTGTTTTTCTTTACTAATTTCAAAGAAATGACTATAAAGTTGGCACATTGCGCAGTATGCGTATGCGCACATCTGGTTTTTACCATATATGCGATATGTCGCCAAGCGGAAAACATATTCTTGGTAACGATTCTTACTAGTTGTGTGTCCATTGGTAATAATGCATGCGAATATCTTAATAAATCAACAGTTGTCTTCTGTACGCGCAGACCATGCGCATATTATGTTTTAAATGTAGGTACCAGGTTAGTAGGTATTGTTTCTAACAAGAAAAGAGATATAAAGGATGATGAATATGTAATAATACCTACATAACTGGTTTTAACTTTACCAGCCGCTGGTCAGGCGCAGTAGCAAGCAATTGGTGTAAATTTTCTTGGTTCTTGGTTGTTACTATACCCTAAGCTACCGAATGCAAACAGAACGAACTAAATATCTTGAAAACTGTAAGAGTAGATGCAGCTTCGAGTGGACCGACGGAGAAAGTGGCAATAATAGCGCCTTCCAACATGTATTGGAAAATGCGCTAGAACTGCCCTCTGCCATATTCGCTATGCGCACCACTTTTTTGTAAGACGAACATTTGGTGCAATATGTTTAGGTTATTTCAACGATGAAGTGCGCATAATTTTTTTTTAAAGTCACACGAAGAAACTGTCCGCAATTGCAGTTCCAAATATAAAATTTTGGGGGGACCAGACTTTTCACACGCCCGTTTAAGGGTGCATCTTTGGAAATACAAAATTAGAAAGAATACATCCAAAATCCCAGAGAGTCTTACTTGTTGTGTTCATAAGAAGAAAATGTAATTAGAAACGCAAATTTGGTACCGTTCGGGGGTGTAGCCCCAAGACATAGATTAAAAAATCTATGTCCAAAGCGACACATTTTATCTGCGTCGTGCAAGTACTGGTTGCAATTTAAAAAATGTCCCTTTTTTTAATTAAAAACTTGTTTCCAGCCCCACCCCCATTCACCACCCTTAATCAAGGTCTTAGGGGATTGAGATTTTATCTGTGGCATTATTAAGAGGTAAAAACATAAGTGTTTTATGAGATCCGATTATCGCTATTGTGGTACATATCAGAGCCCCACTGTAGCCTCAATATTAGACCAAAAAATCCGATACAACTGAATACCGAACGATTCTCGAGATCTTCGCACATGCATCTTTTTTACAACGCAGGGATTGATTCTGTTCCACCAGATCAGCATAGCTTGTAAAACAAATTTTTGAATTAGCATTACTTTTACTTTTATACGAGGTGGGAGGTGCATATACATACAAAATTTCATTTAAATATAACAAATAAAAAAAATGGGATTGCTCAAATACAAAAGTTGGGTTGCACATGCGCAATTTTTTAAAAATTCATCTACTAACACAGAAAACCGGATATTCATATGTTCTTTGTAACAAGAATTATAACAGAACCCTTTTTTTTGTAGGTTTGGGCAGTTTTTGGGTTGTAACTTTTTGGCCCGTTAGTCTACATAGCCAAAAAACAATAGGGACCTTTCTTATATCCTGAAGAACATGTGTGTCTATTTTCAAAGCGATCGGACGTTTCTACACAAAGTTATCGTGCACAGGGACAGACAGACGGACAGCAATACAAAATTATAAACGATCGCGAGGATCGTTAATGATAAAATATTTCTATAAAACCCAAGGACCTTGATAAAACCAGAGCATTAAAAGTTGACCAATATATTATGTATATAAGTATTGACATTGATTATACACACTATATAAATCAAGTGTATTGATAAGAATCCCAAAATAAATCCAAACACAAAGCCAGTAACAGGTGATGTATTGTATACCTGAAAATTTGACAGAGCAAGAATAAATGATCTGTGGAATAAATTACAATCCTGTTTGTAGCATAATGTAGGACGTATCTAATTACGATAACAAACAAAACACCACCTTTATCTCTAAGAACAAGGTCAGCCTTTGGCGATAATATCCATGTGATAAATTGATGTAAGTATATTACAGGTTGCTATTCTTCGTTAATAGGTCACTGCGTTACCTAAACGTCCATATTGTATACAGACTTTAGTTACACGCTAACAGCGCCATCTTACACGAAATCCACAAATTAAATTACAGGAAAAACATGTGGAATTTGATGGCGGCAACTCACATTTTAGCGATCAGGGCACTAAAATGTACAAAACTTGAAAAATAAGTAAGTTTCATCCGAAACCAAAATACTACATCATTCTTCAGGGTACTACTTGTGACAAGACACTAATAGTTTGCTACACTATTTGATATTTATTTAGTGGTGTACCTTTAAAGGTTACGTAATATTTTTTTTTTTTTTGTATTAATGCGAAATATGTATCTCATCACGTAGTTGTCTCAGATGAAGGTGTTACGAATTATCTTTTACGAAAAAAGTAAAAATATTTTGAAATTTGTACATTTGAAATTTGAATTTATATTAACCTCACATTTTGGTGTTAATCCCCC